CACCCCCCAAGTCACAGCTCACCTCTGCATCCCCTGCCCACAACTCACCCCTGCACCCTGTCTGCAATTCACCCCTGCACCATGTCTGAAACTCACCTGTCAATTCACCTCTGCAACACCTGACTGCAGCTCACAACTGTCATCAGCCAGCCCTCTCTATAGTAACCCTCATCCACAACTGCACCCCCTGTCCACACCTGTACATTAAAAAAATAAGACCTAGTGTGTGTTTTTTTGAGCCATAAAAAATTTAAGACAGTGTCTTATTTTCGGGGAAACACGGTATATAATCCTGACACCTGCACTCTATACACTACAATGTACATTCCCTAGTTTTGACCCCTGAACTTTTTATGCTTTGTTGAGCTAGACTTATAGTTGACCAAAGTATGTATTGTCTCAACAGTTGTCGGTTGTTGTATTGATGCCAACCGTTTCAGTGAAAATGAGTGTGTGCAGAAATACAGATGTATTGGAATGGTCTCATTGTTTTTAAAAATTATAATTTGTCCTGAGGTTTATGTGTGTCTTTGTGACTTCTGCTTGTGGCACAGTAACTAAGGCATATTTGTGGGTAGAAAGACTGTGCCAAATCTATAGCAAGTGGGCGCAGGTTCTCCTTAACTATTCCACTTTAAATCACTCTGCTAATAGAAGTGATAGGCAAGCCATTCAACAAGTGCAAGAAGTTGTCATTTTAGGGCAGTGTATAAACATATAACTTAATTTTAATTATTGTAGGGTTTTTCGTTTTGGGGTTTTAGGGCAACAATCTTTTTCTGCATCACTTATAAAAATTAATGAGAGGAAATGTCCACTATAACTTATTTAAGACTCATGAAGTATTTGTGATTTCTAGTGGAAATCTTTAGGAAAATATTAAAGTAGTAAACCCTGAGAGACATTTAGGTTGTTTTTTGCTTGTTTTTAATAATTTAATATTTCTTTGTTTTGTTTTTTTTAAATACATTTTTATTTGTTTTCATTGATTTATAGATTGAGATTTTTGGCTTTTTTTCTGCTCAATTGTGTTTTTAGTATAGTTTTTTTTATTTCCTTATGTTCCTTTTGTCTGTTTTGATAATATTTTTTAGTAATAATTAATTGTCCATTTAAAAGTACAAACATACCATTTTTGATTGCTGTCATATCCCCAAAATTGTTGAAGAGGAAATCCTATCAGTCACATCACAGGTAGGTTACACACATATGATGTAAAGTATAACTGTTCTCAAGTAACATTGGTGAAGTTCATCAAAGGCATTAAATGCGGGCACCCAAAACTCAGTATTCTTCTGTGCATATTATAAAAACACTGCATTAGACAAATGACAGCTTCACCTGCTGGGGCTGCTGGTAAGTTCTATCCTCTTCCACTTTCTCTTGTTTTTGGTCATTGAGGTCAACCATCATACTGAGTAACCAACTTGAAGGTACAGGAGGTTGTATGAGTTGGACCATCCCAGACATAAACCTCAGCAAAGTAATGATAGTTTCATGTGGTGTTCAATTGTGTGAGTTCAATGGGCACTGGAAAAAAAAGTACAACAAACTATTTCCTAAATATTTCTTTCCAAAAATGTCAACAGAAAGAAAAATGGTGTATCCCCATCTCTTATGTTCTATCAAAAATTATATTTCAGCTGTCTGATATTATGTAGCACATTAGTGCATTTGGATAGTCTGAGCATAATTCTTTTTCAATTATGTATATACTTATGCTATTAATACACCCTGTTTCAAATTATTATGTAAATTGTATTTACCGTATTTTTCACTCCATAAGACGCACCTAGGTTTTAGAGGCAGAAAACAGGAAAAAAAATATTCGGAACCAATGGACTGCAGACATAGTACAGGAGATGACCAGAGACTGCCGACATAGTACAGGAGATGAGCAGAGTCTGCGGACACAGTACAGGAGATGACCAGAGACTGCGGACACAGTACAGGAGATGACCAGAGACTGCGGACAGTACAGGGATGACCAGAGACTGCGGACACAGTACAGGAGATGACCAGAGACTGCAGACACAGTACAGGAGATGACCAGAGACTGCAGACACAGTACAGGAGATGACCAGAGACTGCGGACACAGTACAGGAGATGACCAGAGACTGCGGACATAGTACAGGAGATGACCAGAGACTGCGGACATAGTACAGGAGATGACCAGAGACTGTGGACACAGTACAGGGAATGACCAGACTGCAGACACAGTACAGGAGATGACCAGAGACTGCGGACACAGTACAGGAGATGACCAGAGACTGAAGACACAGTACAGGAGATGACCAGAGACTGGGGACATAGTACTGGAGATGACCAGAGACTGGACACAGTACAGGAGGTGACCAGAGACTGCGGACACAGTACAGGAGATGACCAGAGATGCGGACAGTACAGGAAATGACTGCTGACCTTTGGGGAGGGGGGGGGAGCGGGTACCTGAATTTGGCAGGTACCCGCTCTTACTTCCGCGGAGTTGTTCTTTAGTTAGTGTCCGCTCTGCAGCGGGACCTTACCTGCTTAATAATGTGGAACACCCTCCTTTAGTAGTTTTTCCTTAAATTGGGCTCACCGGCCAATCTAATTATCACAGGTGTCCGAGATTGTTTTCAGTGATCAAAAGAACCCTGACACACAATGCCATCCATGAGTTAAACTGAAAAAACAAAATATTTAATCTTTGTGACACCATATTTTTCGCTCCATAAGATGCACTTTTTTCCCCCCAAAAAAAAGGGGGAAATGTCAGTGCATCTTATGGAGTGAATATGGAGCGGCCGGTCCGGTATTTCCACTGCCGCCCTGTCAGAATACCGGGCCGGACGCTCAGCTCTGCAGCGGGACCTTACCTGTTCCTCTATCCAGCCGTGCGCTGTCTTCCCGGCTTCTGTAGTGTGGGCGCTCGGCTTGACAGCCGGGTGCCCAGTGCACATGAGCGAGAAGCGCTGCGCTTTGTGGTCCGGCGGCTTCTGGGACCTGTCATGTGTCCCAGGTGCCGCTTTACCATTCACAAAGAGCACCGCTTCTTGCGCATGCGCATTTGGCACCCGGCCGCTCCATATTTGCTCCATAAGACGAACTGACATTTCCCCCCCCTTTTTTTTGGGGAAAAAAGTGCATTCTTATGGAGTGAAAAATATGGTGTCAGAAAGATTAAATATTTGTTTTTCAGTTTAAGTCATGGATGCATTGTGTGTCAGGGCTCTTTTGATCACTGAAAACAATCTCGGACCACCTGTGATAATTAGATTGGCAGGTGACCCCAATTTAAGGAAAAACTACTAAAGGGAGGGTGTTCCACATTATTAAGCAGAGCACCATTTTCAAGCAATATGGGGAAGAAAAAAGATCTCTCTGCTGCCGAAAAGAGTGAAATAGTTCAATGCCTTGGACGAGGTATGCAAACATTAGATATTTCACGAAAATTTAAGCGTGATCATCGCACTATTAAGAGATTTGTGGCTGATTCAGAGCACAGACGGGTTCATGCAGATAAAGGCATTTCTGCCAGATCCATGCATTGGATCAGAGAGCAGCTGCTAAAATACCATTACATAGCAGCAAACAGATATATGAAGCTGCTGGTGCCTCTGGAGTCCCACAGACATCAAGGTGTAGAGTCCTCCAGAGTCTTGCAACTGTGCATAAAACCTTCTATTTGGCCACCACTAACCAATACTCACAAGCAGAAACGGCTGCATTGGGCAAAAAAAAAATACATGAAGACTAATTTTCAAAACAGTCCTGTTCACTGATGAGTGCCGTGCAACCCTGGATGTCCAGATGGATGGAGTAGTGGATGGTTGATGGACGGCCACAACAAGGCTCCGACGTCAGCAAGGCGGTGGTGGAGTCATGTTTTGGGCCCGGAATCATGGGAACAGAGCTTGGTCAGCCCCTTTAGGTCCCTGAAGGTGTAAAGATTACCTCTGCAAAGTATGTGGAGTTTATGACTGACCACTTCTTCCCTGGTACAGAAGGAAGAACTATGCTTTTCGTAATAAAATCATCTTCATGCATGACAATGCACCATCTCATGCTGCAAAGAATACCTCTGCATCAATGGCTGCTATGGGGATATAAAAGGAAAAAAAGTCATGGTGTGGCCTCCATCCTCCCCTGACCTCAATCCTATTGAGTACCTTTGGAGCATCCTCAAGCAAAAGATCTATGATGGTGGGAGGCAGTTTACATCCAAACAGCAGCTCTGGGAGGCTATTCTGACATCTTGCAAACAAATTCAAGCAGAAAACTGTCCAAAAACTCACAAGTTCAATGGATGCAAGACCTGTGAAGCTGCTATCAAATAAGGGGTCCTATGTTACAATGTAACGTGGACCTGTTTTAAAATGTTTAAAAAGTTAAAATGTTGTTAAAAGTTTGATTGAAATAGCTTTTGATTCAGTAATTATGCTGCAAACACAACAAATGACAATTTTCAGTTCTTTACAACCTATAAAGTGTTTTGAAACTTACTGTGCGTAATAATTTGGAACAGTGCATTGTAAGATTTTTCTGTTTAAAAAAAATACTGTTATTAGGAGGTTTGTTCAATAAAATTTGAATTGTACTCTTATTAGTTGATAACATGAGAATTATGCTGACTGTTATTTACATGAATTATTTAGGTAAATGAGAAAAATATCAATTGCATAATAATTTGGAACAGGGTGTACGTTCATGACTTGTCTATTTAGATTTAAATACACTAATTATAGATAAGAGGAAGGAGGTTTTTGTACGGCTCTGTATCACTGTGTGAGAGGGAAGCTCTTGCTCTGCATACAGTAATACTCGGCTTCATCTTCTGCCAGAGCTCCATTGATTGTAAGAGTGAAATCTCTGTACGGGGAGATCCAGATCTACTGCCAGTGAATCTGTCCGGGACTCCAGAGTGGCGATTGGTTGCCCAATAGATAAAACGTTTTGGGGGTTGATCAGCTTTCTTTTGGAACCAATATATTAGACTGTCACCATCTGAGGCAGCAACATCAGAACTTGATTTACAGTTTATCTGAACTTTCTCTCCTGGAGACGCTGAGATATGTTTTGGAGTCTGCGTCATCACAATCTCTCCATAAGAGGCTTGGGAGACAAAGAAGAATTATAATTAGCTGCAATTTAAACCAGATAGAAATATTCTATGATTCTAATATTGTTACAAAAAGATAAGGACTGGGTAAAATAAAAGGATTTTTAAAGAAATCATTCAGTGATCATACATTTTCTGTACCTTTTGTATAAAGATAAAGGACACAGAGCAGATATGGCAGAGGGACCATCTTGATGTGTCAGGACTGTCACACAAACAGATCATTGGTTTCCAGAATACGGAGTTTATATCATATGAAGTCTAAAGGGAAATAAGCTCAGAGTTCCTGTATGTAAAATAGAAAAGTATGCAAATTGTACTGTCACAGATTCCTCGCCCCACACCTTGTATTAGAATTCTCCACATTGTATCTCCAGTCTTATAAAAAGCATGTTTTTTTTGTAGTTTGTACATTTTGTAAACACGGTGTATTCATGATGAACAACATGACTACTGCACCATAGATAGGCTTGTCCACTCCTACTTCCACCATTGCCTATCCATACCACTCCAACCCCCCCCCCCCTTTAACCAAATAAACTTTACAAAAACATGACACCATTTTTGGAGTAAATGGCCATCATGGCCTTTTATTAACAACTTCACATTTTACATACATCAACCATTCCTTAACGGAAACCAAAGAATTGTTGTTGGTCTTCAAAGGCACCCACAAACGATCCAAAATGCACCTGCGGACAACCCTATACACTAGGCCTCCAGCCGCAACCAACCAGCTTTGGAGACAACCATACCGTCCGCAGTGCAGCACCACCACCTTCCAGCTAAACCTTGGTTAACTGGGAATATCCACCGGACCCCCCATACCACGGATGGGGTCCCACACCATTGTTTTCCTTCCAAGATGAGAACCGCCTCCAAAGACCAACAACCGCCCACGAACCAACATAAAACCCACCTCACCAACCAGTGTTTTTAGTTTTTATTCTTTCGTTCTCGAGTTTCCTGCGCACTGCCCCAGACAAGACCCTATACCCAACCTGACAGGGAGGCGGGAGGGATGCTCTGGTCCTTGCACTCATCCAGCTGCACTGACGCCCCTTCCGCAGCAACCCCCACCCTACGGTGCCACAGACACCTCCTACACTCCACATCTGCCAATCCCGTAATTCCCAATCCATCCCCACCCCCTTGGAGCTAAATTTTACCCTTTCCGTTCCCTACCACTCTGGGCCTAGTCATGTGTGCCCTGCGCTATTTCCATTCTTCCCTATTCGCTACGGCATTTCTTGACTACTGCACCATAGATAGGCTTGTCCACTCCTACTTCCACCATTGCCTATCCATACCACTCCAACCCCCCCCCCCTTTAACCAAATAAACTTTACAAAAACATGACACCATTTTTGGAGTAAATGGCCAACATGGCCTTTTATTAACAACTTCACATTTTACATACATCAACCGTTCCTTAACGGAAACCAAAGAATTGTTGTTGGTCTTCAAAGGCACCCACAAACGATCCAAAATGCACCTGCGGACAACCCTATACACTAGGCCTCCAGCCGCAACCAACCAGCTCGGAGACAACCATACCGTCCGCAGTGCAGCACCACCACCTTCCAGCTAAACCTTGGTTAACTGGGAATATCCACCGGGCCCCCCATACCACGGATGGGGTCCCACACCATTGTTTTCCTTCCAAGATGAGAACCGCCTCCAAAGACCAACAACCGCCACAGCACGCTGGGTAAACCCTTACCCATGCGTGCCAACGCCACAAACGAACCGCCCGTAGTAATGCTGTCCTGCAGCTCCAGGGACCACAAATCCGTGCCCACCGCATTCAAATGCACTCCATCACTGCGAAGGTACCGCCAAGTATCCACCTCCAACTCCACATGCCGAACCACCAATCCCCCATTACGACTAAAAAAGCGCCCCACCTCCCGGTTGACCTTAATCCTGGCCTTGTTGAGCCGCTCCACTGACCGCGCCAAGCCCCAAGAAGTGCGGGCGACCACGTCAGACCACACCACCACCATCCCCCGGAAACTCACGCCGCAACTGAAGAAAATCCAGCTTGACATCTCTAACCAGCTCCCGCATGGACCTACCCCCCAAATCGTTGCCACCCGCGTGAATCACCAACACATCCGGTGGCCTATCCAGCCGCGCAAAACGCCGCACCTCTGGCACAACACGACTCCACAACATGCCCGGCACACCTAACCAGGACACAAACCTCACCGTCCTATCCAACCCCTGCTGCCTGCCATTGGGCCGAACATCAGCCCGCCTGGCCCCCCAAAACACATACGAGTGACCCAGGATCCCACACCAGGCACACTGCTCCACCTGAAAGAAAAGAAAACAATACCGCTAGAACAACACAGCACATGGACAGAACCGCAACAACCTCCACAAACCCAAACAAACAAAACACAGGACCGCCCACTAAGCCCGCAACAAATGCGGCTGAAACGTATAGGCGAAATCTCTGGGAATCCCACCTACCAATGCGCTTCACCACATCCTCCGACAGCCCCCACCTGGCCACCTCCGTAGCAGCCCCTATCCGAAACGAGTGCGAAGCATACAAAGACGCATCCAAACCAGCAGCCGTCAAACACCGGCGAAAAACCGCCACAACTGAAAACGCGTTTAAAGGGGAGCCATCAACATGCCTGAAAAAAGACCCCCCCCCCAGGGCGACGGGACAAAAATTCCCGAACCGCCTGAACAGGGCACACCAGTGAACCCGGAAGAGCGAAAAAACGCACCTTCGCACCCCTGCCCAATTGATCCGTCTTAGACCGACGGACCAGAACCTCCACCCAATCACCGGAGCACACAACCTCCTCCACCAACAACCCCCCAAGAACCGACTTGGACGGACTAACGAGCTCCCCAATTCGCAAAGCCCCAAAAAAAGCCACCGCAAAGGCAGCCCGAAATAAAACCACCTCAAAATCCGAAGAACACACAGTCCGCAAATGCTCAAACAAAGACCCCAACAACGCGAACGACACCGCACGACGAGAATCCCTACAACGATGAGCCCTCCGATAACCCCGCAAAGCCTGTCGAACCCAAAAATCCTTAGTAAAATCCCGACACCCTTGCAACTTAAAGAAAAAACGCCATGCCGCTAGACGGCGATCCACTGTGGACGCCGACACCCCCCGCTCCAAACTCCGCGCCAAGAAGTACAACACCGCCACACACGCCACCTCCGGCCCCCAGGGATCAATAGCTACCAGTCCCAACAGCTCCAGCCATTCCCCGCCAGACCGTAGAGTAAGTCGCCTCACTCACCGACCGCCGGATCCACCCCGCAAAGATTCCAAGGCAATCTCCCACAGCCAGTTGGGACAAGGAACCCCGTGTTGCTCCGCCGCCGGCGCCAACTCCCGGAATCTGTCCCACTGAAAACAAGACAAAGCGTCAGCCAAGGTGTTGTCAACCCCAGGGAGATGTACCGCATGGAGAAAAACATTCAGCTGCAAGAAACGCAACACTAAGTGGCGAAGCAGGGCCCACCACCGGTCAGGAAGAAGCCGAGACCCTATTGATGACCTGAACCACCCCCAAATTGTCGCAGTGAAAAACGCACCTTTTGATTCCGAAAAATTCCCCCCCAAACCTCAACCGCCAAAACCCACTGGAAACAGTTCCAACAGCGCAAGGTTACTGAGAAAACCTGCCTCCCGCCAGGAAGCCGGCCAAGAGGCCGCACTCCACCGACCCCGGAAATAGGCCCCGTATCCCGCAGAAGCCGCCGCGTCCGTGAACAGCTCCAAGTCAAAATTACTAACCGGGCCCGACATCCAAAGCGCCCGGCCGTTGAAAGAATCCAAAAAGGTGTGCACAAACTGCAAGTCCTCCCGAGTCAGCCGAATGAAATGAAAAGGGGAGGCAATACCCGCCGTCGCCGCCGCCAACGGCGGCAGCAGAACACCCAACCCATCGGCAGGATCCGACAAGCGAAATTAAGTTTTCCCAACAATGACTGCAAGGGCCGCAGCTGAATTTTACGCTTCCCCTGAAACCGCCACGAATTTCACCCTGAAGGGGCCAACAGCTTCTCTTCCGGCAGCCGGCACTCCATGGCGCCAGCATCCAAAACAATGCCCAAGAAAGTCATCACCGAAGCCGGACCCTCCGTCTTGTCAGCCGCCAAAGGAATCCCGAAACGGTCAGCAACGTGCTGCAACGTAGCAAGCAAAAAACCGCGCACACCCCGGAAGCCGGCGGACCCACGCAAAGAAAATCATCCAAATAATGGATGACCGAATTCACCCCTGAAACATCCCGAACCACCCACTCCACGAACAAACTGAACTTCTCAAACAGCGCACAAGAGATAGAACACCCCATGGGCAAACACCTATCAACGTAAAACGCGCCCTGCCAACGGCAACCCAAAAAAACGAAAACTGTCCCGGATGAACCGGCAACAGCCGGAACGCGGACTCAATGTCGGACTTCGCCATGAGGGCACCGCGCCCATACCGACGAACCCAGAACACTGCCGCATCAAAGGACGTGTAAGACACCGAACACGACTCCGGATCTATAGCGTCATTCACTGACCCCCCTTAGGGAAAAGACAGGTGGTGAATTAACCTAAACGCATTCGGCCTCCCTTCTTAGGCACAACCCCCAAGGGAGAAACTACCAGATGCCCTCCGCAAACGGAGCACAAGTAAACGACCCCCCATACGACCCAACCCCCCACTTCCTTCCGCAACTTCTAGGCCGAAACCACCTCAGCATGCTGCAAGGCCAACCGTAAATTCCGAGCTAAGGGGGGGACCAAAGTCAAAGTACAGGGGATGCGAAAACCCTCCCGAAAAACCTGCCGCCAGCAACACCGCCACAGCCCGATCAGGATATCTATTTAAGAAAGGCTCCATCCTTTCCACCCGCACCGGCGTCCGTCCCTCTTACCCGCAGGCTCTCCGGGAGGGCCCTCTACCCCGCCTGAAACAGAGCGAGAAAGGATGGGA